ACCCCAGAGCGCGTTAGGGACCGTGTATGTGTATGAGGCACTACGCAACGGAATTACCCTTTGGTGGTGCTTCCCTCTTGGTTATGATGGTAAAGGTTCTACACATCAATATTTGATTGGCCTGATAGGTGAGGCTTCTACTTCAGGAGTTAGTTGGTATCTCTTAATCTTGATTATGCTTGTTACATACATGCCTAGCTATTTTGAGTTGTTATGACACTCATGCCTGAATGATTTGATCGACTTCTTGTTATAATTATATATGATTAATCTGATTGGTTATTACTCCACCATGAAACAAATCATGCATGACACGTTTGTTTAAATGTGAATTTGACACATGACTTCATGTTTCGTAAGATTTGCATAAAACACTGACTATTGTCATGTTATAATATTTGTAAGCATGATTGCATGGCACCTAGAACTATTTACTGGGTTTTACAGCTCACCCTTTTAAGTTTTCCCTCTATGTAGAGTGATAGCCAGCGTGTTTGGAGTGGCATGTCCTGGCCTTATAGTCCTTTCTAAGTTGATATATGTCTTGATGTTAAGCTTTTTTTGCTTTGGACCTATATGTATTTTGGAACTTGTTTGTTCAGCAGACTATGGTTACGCATATTGTGTTTCATTTTTCATTTCTTTTGTGGTTGACTTTAATACTGAAAATTCCTTCTTTTCAAAGTGTTGAGAGCACCACAGCCCGAGTGGCACTCACTACCTGTGGTCGTGACCCCTCCATATTGTCCTTCGGGGGGCCCGGTCCAAGCCCTTTGTGGGTCCAACGGGGACGGTAGGAAGCGAGGCCACAACATAGAAAATAAAAAATTTGTAATAATATATAAAGTTTTAAGTAGAGAAATACTAAAAGAAAAATTGTTTCATTCAGGTTAGACCGCATTTCTACATTATGCGGTCCATAGGTATAAAGCATCCATCTTAAAGATGGATGCAAATAAGTAGTCCATCTAAAAACAAGTGTAACTAACCGTCCAAATATTTTCTTAATATGACTATTATTTTTAGTTTTCAAATTATTGTTATTATTTTCATATTCATGATCTCCATGTTAAAGATTATGTATTCTCTAAAACTTAGGATGAAATTATATTTAAAATATATATTTATTGTCAATCCTGCATTTCTACAATATGTGGGCTAGCCGTATAGAAACCATGTCCATAGAAGAATAGGGAAAAGAAAACAAAAGGAGAAATATATAAAAATGTTATAAGGATAGCTTTACAAACTCTACACTGTGACATTGCAGTTATCAACCAATTTTTGAAACAAATTGCAGATTAGTGTTGATTAGTCCGATTAGTCAACTGATTAACTGAAAGAAAATTATGCATACATGACCGTTGGAATGGGGCCATATCGGAGTTAGTCGGCCGATTTCTTAAAAATCGGCGGATCTTTTAAACACTGATGTAAACAAAGAGATTGGAATTGAGTAAATAGTTGATCTTGTGAAAATTTCTTTTGGGGTGGATGCATTGCAAACTTGAAAGATAGTATAGTTTCTCTCCCATTATTATTATTTTATTTAATTATTTCTTCTCATGCATCACTTGTAACATATTATTTGAATCGTCTATTTTCAAAATATTTACGAGTTTATAGATATACTCTATCTACATCATTTTATGAGTTTTAAACCTCATAATTAAGAGCGTGAAATTAGATTTTTAGATAATCAGGTTTTTGACACCAAAAGTATATCTTCCCGTACAATTTAGAGTTGTGCTTTACTTTAATTATTTAAGATTGACACCTTATACGAACCACGTCCAAAATATTATTTAGGTTCCCAGAAATTTTATCATGGCTAAAAAATCTATTCTCACTCTAAAAATAGCGCAGATCAATTTTCGCTCTAAAAATTTACAATTCTAAATATAATGTAGAATAAGTAGATCTATAAATGCTCTAAAATCTTGAAAATAGATTGTTTGAATAAAGTGTTACAAGACTATGTTTTTAGGACTAGGAATCGATTTCTTTTTCATATATATACATCTCAAGATTGAGATAATCACTTGTAGGATTTTTCGACATCGAAACAAGTTTTCCATGTGTATGTTTAAGGTGCATCTTATTTCTACAGTAGAAGGTCGCCACCTTATATAAATTTTATTTTTTTATAAGTACAAAATTATTTCCTTATGTAGGAAAAAGTTTAATATTTTACTATCCATTTTTATTTGATTTTAAAATATCATTAAAATGCACATATTTTTTGTGTTGGAATAGTGAAAAAAAGGTTAAAAATATTAAATTGTTGAAAAGTAAAGTGTATTTTAATAAATTTTCCAAAAACAATTTAGTATCTTCTAAATATATTGTCAGTTGTGTTGTGTTACTATGTGGAGACTGACATGTTGTAGTCATGTGAGACATCATTCTTAGAAGGATCGCACTGGCAATCTAGCCAGTGGAGTTTAATACAATCAAAACAGTTCCACTGTCGGTTAAACTGGTTAGACATATTTTAAAAAGTACATAAAAATAATAGTAATTCAAAATTATGAAATATGTTAGAAAAAGTTTGAATCATTTTTCAACAAAACCATGTTTTTGCTTTAAACAATACAGGCGAAGGCATCGAGTAGAGTCCAATCGGTCAGACCTTATAGTCCAATCTTTACTAGTGCAATCGGTCAGACCTTGCAGTCAAATCTTTAGCAGTACAATTGGTCAGACCATAGAGTACAATCTAGTATTGAAATGCTGCATGGTACTTTTAAAAAAGGGTGCGGTTTGTATAGAGCCGAGGCTCTAAACAATCAAATTAGAGCCCACCTTCAAATAGTCTTGAGAAATACGGTTTCAATGCTTGAAAGATTTGTGATGGCCTTAAAATATATTTTTATCTTTAATTATAAATTTAAATTTTAAAAAATAGTGTAGATGGAGCATATCCAAAAAAACTTGAGAAGCTTTAAAATTGACAGTCCAAAAATGTATTACATGATGCATTATTCCAATACTTGAAATCCATTTTTTTCTTATGTCCTACATTTTGATATCAAGATGATCAATCTGAGCATATTTGGACATCAAAACAACCTCTTCTAGTGAAAGTTTTGAGGTTCGCTCTAATTTGATTGTATAGAACCTTGGCTCTATATAAACTTTTCCCTTAAAAAAATACAGGTTCATATAATAACATTAAATTCATTATTTTAAAAAATGTAGGTTCACATAATATTCCGTTGTATATTCCTGCCTCCTTTGCACAACATTATTTTAAAAAAAAAAAAAAAAGAGGGATAAAAAATGATGATAAAAAAATTTAATAAAACAAAGGATATGGTTTGCTTAAGGTTGCAACTTAAATAATCGTGCAACTTTAAGCTTTGTCATGAGAAGCCCTTTTGATGCATCTTTGTCATGAGAAGCAATTTTGAGTGCTAAATCTTAGGATGGTGCAAGAATCTATTTTTATTTTTAATTATAAAATTTTTTGCCCCAAAAACGTTCAAATCTAATAGATCTATAAACATATAAAAACCTTATAAATTGCCGGGTCCAAATAATGTAATGTAAAATGCATTATTTTTAGGACTGGACACATTGTCTGTCTAATTAAAAAGGTGATGGCTTGAAATCAAGTTCAGATTCTCTTAACATTCCAGGAAAAAGAAGAAGTGGTTCAGCTTCTTGCCGAGGACCCGAGCAATTTCTAAAGTTCGAATTCCAGCTTCTCCCTGGACAACAAGAAAATGAAAAATAAACAAAAAGAGCTTCACCAGCAGAAAAAATAAAATTAACTTGGTTGTCAGTTTTCGTTTGTTTCACTTTTCTATTTATTCTTTTTCCTTTTTGTGTTTGTCTGTTAACTTGAGATTCTACTTTCTATTTTCTTGGTATTTAACGAATTTTCCTGGAACATATATCAATACAAGTGTTTTTTTTTTTAAGTGAAGAGAGAGAGGTAGAGGTTACATTAACCTGGTAGAATCAATCTTTTAAAACCCACCGCTTTTCAATCCAGATTGCTCAGGACCAAACCGATTCTTATCACTATTATTTATCAGTCGGTCTAATATTTACTTCGGTCCTTTAAATCCCCACCTCTATAAACCCCAATTTTTATATCATTATATTTCATTTATTTTTAGTTTGTTTTTTAATTGTCGATTCAGACTAATCTAAATCGCTGATCTAACGATCTCACACAAATTTGTGAGTTATCAATCCACCACCTTCCAATCCAAGTTTCCAAACACTGGTTAGAATGCTTTCACTAAAATAATAAAGCAATATCTAACGACGATTGTATCGTCATTTCTAAACCATTACGACAAGGTCCTTGGAGAGGGATTGATATTATGAGACTAATTACCAAAATCACAATTACTTCTAATCATTAGATTTCAAATTGGATGGTTTCAAAGTGTATCACAAAATTCGAAAATTTTATTTTACTTTTTTGAACTTTGAGTCCAATAAATAACAATCTTACAACATCTCGATTTGAAATCTGACGAATCAGAGTGATTGTGCCCTCCTCCTACCAAAATCTTTTTGTATACTTTTCCGTAAACAAAAGGAGTGAAAACACCTATTACAATTTAATCACAATAGTTCCTAGAGTTGTTATATTCATGGATTCAAATATACATGAATATTTCCCCTACAAGGGCAGAAGGAATAGCCCTTCCGACAGGTTCAGCAATAATATTTGTGTGCATGATCTATTTACTTATACATAAAATAATTTCACATCATAATTTTAAGACGTGGCCATACATTACTGTAATGATTCCATGAAATCACAGATATATTCTTCATTTTATATAGAAAACAAAGCTTATTTGATCAGGTGCCTTCCAATGAGCGTGTTCCAATACATTTTTCTCTGCATATCTTTCTATTCGTTCACATGTGAATTTGCACATTCTCATGCCCTAAATTTCAGTTCATGAACTTCTCATTCTCTCAACTCTAAAGCCATGAATGCATAAATAAGATTTATATTCTTCACGTAAAAATGCACATCTAAAACCCAATTATTATTAGTAGAACTAAAGTAACTCGGACATACATATTGCTGTGGCAACCATACTTACCATTAGAAGGGTGATAAACAAATCTTCAATTCATTCCTTATTCCTCATGCTTTCATACGCATCTCATGTTCTCCAATTTAACTCTCTATTTTAACTTGTTTTAAAGTGACAGTCATGGTTTTGGAAGCTGGGATCGATAGATATCATGGCATGAGCTGGACGAGTTAATAGGGCATAGACGGAGAGAGAAAGAGTAAGGCACTGGAGGGATGAGGTACTGATCATGAACACTCGGGGACCAACTATCGTCCCCACCTAAACCCATGTGCTTGTGGTCAAGATGCACCTGCAACACCAGAAGAACAAAATTCTCTCAAAACAAAAAACAAAAAAACGATAATAATTGTAAATTGAATGAATTCCAACAAATATAAGAGGCTAATTCTGTTACAAATTGCTGCATTTTTTTATTTTATTTTTTTTAACAAGGTTATATACGAATGGAACTTGAGATGGAGTGAGTGCTATGAAAACCCACCTGCTACCGCCTTACCCAAGCCCAATTGTTGTTTCTCTTTTTTAGTTCAAAAGCATCTAGACCTAAAACTTGTACATTTTGCTGTTCCGTTTCCTCACAAATTAGCTATGATTGATGCAAGTAATGACAGAAACCTGATGTCTTTCAACCAACTTCCAAAATGGTTTATTAGGTATATCTTTATATGTGAAGGATATAGCTAAACGACCAAGACGTGAAGTCCATAATTTCCACTGGTAAAGAAACCATTTACTTCAAAGATTGTCAGTCTCCATTTACTTCAAAGATTGTCAGTCTCGGGTCACCACAACATTTTGTGAGAGCACTTTTGGTTTCTCTTTCTTTGGGGTCGGTGGGTGGCCAGTCTGGGGGGTTTTTGAAACCAGTATAAAACCACTTAACCAATTAAGCTAGTGTTCAAATGCTGCTTCCTCTTTACTAGAAGACCTAGGCATTCAATCAAGGATTAGTGCTTTTTCACAAGTAATTCAATGACAATGGTTGCCACAAATGTATTTATGCTATAAGGGGAGAAGTCTGATGTCTAGGGTGTGACTCGGGACCATTCCAATGTGAAACACCCATAATTTACTTAAATTCATACTCTAAATAGGTAAAGCAATCGCAATTAAAAGAAATAACACATGAAGCATTACGTATCAATATTTACATATCAATATTTCAGTTATCAGAATGTTATCTATTACAAATACCTTAAGAGATTAGAATCAACAGCGATAGAGAGTTGAGGATTAACATTTAAAGTAAGGAGAAATTTATATGCCATAAGGGGAGAAGTCTGATGTCTAGGGCGTGCCTGGGTGCCATTCCATTGTGACACACCAGTAAGTTAAATTCATATCGTAAATAGGTAAACCAATCGCAATAAAAAGAAATAACAAATGAGGCATTTCATATAAATATTTCAGTTATCAGAATGTTATTTATCACAAATACATTTAGAGATTAGAGTCAACAAATGATAAGACAGTTAAGGATTAACATTTAAAGAAGGTGAAATGGACCTTTGGGGTTGGGGTAATTACAATGAATGAAGTGCCTAATACATTTCTGGAAATGCTTCCAGAGGAGACAGAAAAAGAATAACAGATTATGCTTGTATTTTGCTTCTTATAGGGACATCAGATTGTGTCATACTTGCTAGAACATTCATTGATTAAGGTCAAATATGAACTATTATGTTTCAATGGTAGATTTTAACATGGTAAGATTGCAAATTAGAACAAAAAAGGTTACTTCTAGAGTTCTGGAATATGGGAAAATATATTATAATTCAATGGAATATGAAAATGGCATTATGGAGAGAGAATGGAACTCACCACTACAAGGGATGTCCTCAATGGTGGGTCTGACCATCCATCCATCATTTCAATGGACAATGATGACCTAAATGATTATGATTTTTTTTGCTGTCCATTTAATTATGGTATCCTCTTGCTTTGGAATAAATACAAAGAGAAGGTGATTTCTTACCTCAATGTCATCCCCCGGAACAAGATCTTCCTCATGCGTAGCCTTGTCAAGCTCTTCAGTGCTGTAGCGGCTAACATTCATTTGCATTGGTGGAGATCCATCATAGCATGAAGCAAAAAGACCAATACCATCACAGTTTCGAAATGCAGCCCATCTTACATCTGCCCGACCAGCACATTCACCAGGAACAATATAAGGCACATGCATGTTTTCAACATTTAGCTCGTATATACCAACCTGGGCAGCTTCCTTTCTATCTGGATAACATTCAAATGGTCCCCTTCCATACCATTTTATTTGATCGAGAGACTTATCTATATGGAGTTCTACACCAATACGAGGAAGAGGCGGAAGATCAGAATGTGGGTACACATTGTATTTCACAACCAGGTCTCCAGTCGCATAGATCAAGTAAGTGACATCCACCTTGAAAACAACCATCCTCTTATGGAATACATTATTCTCAAATCTATCAGAATTGGGAACAAAGCTCTGATCTTTGGGGATAACTTTGTGGACTACTACAATTTCAGCAACATGGTTTGTGAGCTTCTGCATAGAACAACTTTCTGTACAAACTATTAAGTTATCGAGGAAGAACTTCTTCCATTTTGTTGCATAACTGTTAGATAGTCCTCCTTTGTCATTATCAGTTGGAGCTCTCCAAAAGTATGGAAGCATAGGCTTGCATATCAAAGCCACATTTGCAACCTGGAAGTTTTCAAATATTAAAATGCTGATGATTGTCAACCAACTGATATTTGAGTAAAAGACAAGACAAGTGGTGACTATCATGAAAGTAGTTTAGACATTAGAAGCATATAAATTGGGAGAAGAAAGAAAACCAGTAACACATTGAGAATATAGCGCACTTTAAACAACATTTTTGCAGCTGGATATTGTATTACATAATCACCATTTCACCTAAAAATGACGCAGATGAATTATACTGGGAATCATACTAATAATTTATTGTCATTTAGTTTTTCTTCCTCTCTTGAGGGCAGGGCATTACAGTGTTATATATTGGTTCACCTAGAACTCTGAGCTTAGACCCTACATAACCTAGTTAGAATTATACTGTAATCAAGTAACATGAGAAACATATAGAAATATCTGCTTCCCAGCACTGGCCCTATTGAAAAAGATTAATTAAACTACTTTACGATAATGCTCGCTACCAAAATCAACCCAACTAACAAGATCAAGAAAAGAAAATTCGTCCTCCAAGAAATCACAAAGCTTCAGATCTAATGCCCAAGTCACAAATCCACAGATTACTGTGTCCTTGGACTGAACAGATGAAAAAACGTCCTTGGTGTATCTATTATGTATAAAATGCATATGTACTTAGAAATCCTTTCTGTCTTTTAAGATCTTATATCCATATGTGGAGCAAATGGCTCCACAACATTGAGACAAAATGAGTTTGATGCAACAGGGCTCATGATCCTCTAACGCATTATACCTGCGACATATTACAAACTCCTGTGGCTCCTTTTGGTCGATCAACAACTAAATAGGAACACTCAAGAAATATAATAAGATACAAAACAGTGTTACAAGTAGTAGAACACAATAAATTACAATGACTTCCATATTTGTTTGGCCTCCCCTTCAAACTGATGTGGGAAAACCAGAAGCATCAGTTTGTTGACCAGGAGTTGATGCTGTGTCCATGCCATGGACTTTGGTTAACAAATCTGCCATCAAATTGTGAAGAGAAAGGCTAAGAGACTTCCAGCAAAGAGCATAACCTGATTGGCTAATAATCAGAGTTGACAGGAGGCATTATAGATTTGAAAAATTCTAGCAGGTGATGCTGCCTCAATAGAGACTAGCGATACTGTGATACAAGTTATGTATAGCACTACATATATATCTTCTCCAGATGCACTTCAGAAAACAAATGTTATGTGTGGAAAACCCTTATGCCAACAATTACCTTCCAGCTATCAAGGGTTCCTGTCCTTGAATTAATTTCAACCAGCCATTCATTCAGGTTGCTAATTGTGATTGCCCCATCACGTTGTTCAATAAGCAATTGAGGACTCTCAGGCAATTCAATGACCTGGAAAAACAGGTCTACAAAGCATTTAGAAAGAAATCAGACATACAATATAGGTAAGACAATAAATAAAGATACTTGAGAAGAAAACATACAGAAGGAATATGCGCCCGTTTAACAGGTTTACAAATTTGTCTAGAAGAAAGCACGTGTCCCGCTTCAGCCCAACGTGTGGGCTGGGTAAGTTTAGCAGTCATTGTCAGATATATTTCTGCTGCAGGGGATGATTCCCATAAAGAATACCAGGGTGATGATTTTAGTTCAATTTCGTGACTGTCCAGGGGTTTTAGTAGAGGGACAGACAGCATCCCAGACCCCAAGCATTTTCCATCTCCAACTAGAAGCCAACTGAACTCTATGTTGTCGGTGGTTTCAAAGTATTGCGAGTTAAATATCTGCAGCATAAGACGCTTACAATGCCAGTGCAACAGCTTGCCATGAGAGGAATGTAGGATATCAACTGATTAAAATATACCTTGAATTTATCTTCAACGAATGTGAACTTGATTGGCTGGTAGACATATTTTACCTCTGACAAAAAGACAAAAACAATGAATGGCAATATCCATATCCCAAGGGTACGACTATCAGATAGTTCCAATTGCCTAAGGTTCTATATGATATCTTTCAGAGGTTGATTATCTGCATGTTACCATTTAATGCTGGATGTGGAGTACGATCTGGCCAAGTAAGACCATTTAAACAAAAGTTAAGGTCATTAGGGATATCTCCAAAGTCACCGCCATATGCCCAGTGCTTAGTTCCATCTGCACCCTCCTTCAGTAAACCCTGTATAAATATGCAGATTTAAAATGTTAATTTATACAAAACAATGAAACAGAGAGGAACGATGAAACAAAGAACAAGGTGACACAGAATAATAACAAAGTAAATGCACCAACGGTGCCATCTCATTTCTTCATAGACTCAGGATAAACAATACATCTAAAACCCCCTGAAAAAGATTCTGAATATTCTAAAGGGAATACCATTGCCAGCACATAACCAGATCAAACTAAGCATTCCCACAAATGCAAGCCAACTTAGGGCCAACTTGTAGGAATTACAGGTTTTTTGTTAAAGTGACATATGCACTGAATTTGTTTCAAGTAAGTGCACAAGTGAATCGAGATTGAGGTATTGAATCATTTCATAAGCAGGGACGGCCTATACTTCCTGATGCGTAGTTTTGCAACATACAATATTATTTCCGAGAAATGGTTGTATAATTAAATCCGGCACTTTCAAAGTTTTCATTTATCATCCAAAAAAATGCTATGCAATATATGGACATAAAGAAGAAAAATAGATGCCACACAATCAACTAAGCTTAAGCAAATATGTTCACCTGATCAACCCAGTCCCAGATAAACCCTCCTTGCAGCCCTTCTGTACTGGCAATGGCTTCCCAATATTCATGAATGTTTCCATTACTATTACCCATTGCATGCGAATACCTACGACATTTCCAAAAGAGAAACCATTGGTGAGATTTGCATCAGGAATGCACATCTTGCTGTAAGCATATCAAAACCTTCAGAAAAATTTAAAAAACAAATACCATACTCGCACAAAATTAAAGGTCTGGTTTCAGTTGGATCCTTAGCAATTTTCACAATGTCCCAAACACGCATATACATAGGGCACACAATGTCAGTGGACGAAGTTCTAGATCTTCCCCCTTCATAATGTAAGAGCCGGGAGGGATCCCTTCCCCGCACCCACCCTATAAATGACAATCAACAGATATGATAACGCAGAACAAGGATTTAGCAAAAAATCAATAGTCCTAAAAGCCAAGATTTTGTTACCCGATGATGCAGAATGATTAGGACCATATCCAGATTCATTTCCTAGAGACCAAGAAATAATGCATGCATGATTTTTGTCCCTCTCAACCATACTTATGACTCGATCCAGCATAGCATTAGCCCAAGTTGGTTCGGAAGTAGGATGCTTCAGGCGACTAGAAAGATCAAAACCATGGGTTTCAATATTGGCTTCGTCTATCATGTACACACCGAATAAGTCACACAACTCGTACCAACGTGGATGTTGCGGGTAATGGCTGTTTCTAACAGCATTAACATTGTATTGCTTCATCAAAACTAAGTCCTGAAAATCATCAAAACAAGAAGATTCTGTTAGTATGCAAATCATTGGTTCATGGCACTGCATAATTGCAAAAGTTGAATAAAGGATATCTAATGGCAACCTTGATCAGGATATACAGTAATGGTATCAACCAAAAAAATAAAACTCAGAAAGATCACCTTAACCATGCATGACTCAATATTTGTTTTCCCCACACGTGGATGATGCTCATGCCTGTTGACTCCTCGTATCACTATTGGACAGCCATTCAGAAGTAACCGTTTTGGACCAAGAGAAACTTCCCTTATGCCTACTTGGCATGATTCACAGTCAACCAGCTGCTCTGATGCATCTCGAAGGATGACTATTAAAGTGTATAAAGTTGGCTGCCGAAGTAAAAAGAAGACATAAGTAAATCCATTCAATTGTTAACAAGGAAGTACACTTCATGACCAAGACAAATAACAGCAGGTAATAAAAGACAATCAGAGAAAAACCAAATAAATAAAAATCACTTCTTTCATTTGAAGAAATTCAAGATGAAAAAGACTACACAAAAAAATTTCAATTTTTTAACACATGTGAACAAAGGAAAAGAGGCCTGATGACTTTGTCTCAAGTCTTTGGAGAATCTGCACGTTTCTCAAATTTGTTGCACAAGGCCAGAGCTCAAATAAACAGGATGATTTAGCAACATAAGCATGTGCATTCAAATCATAATATAAACTTCACCTGTTGTAGAGCTAAAGCTGGAGTGCTGTAATCCAGATAATTACTGCCTAGTGCTTGTTTGCCCACATGGATGGGTGATATGCACAGGGCGGACTAATCCAAGTTGGAGACAAAGCAGTTTTTCTTTTTTTTTATGCCCCCATTAAGAAGAAGTGCTATTTCCCAAAAAAATTTGCTTTCCTGTACAAATTTGCCATACATTGTTACTATTTGTGCAGGACAAACACCTCAAAAGGGACTGGCACTTCAAAATCTGCCTTGATATCTCATACATGCAAGTGCAACAAGGCAAAGCCTTCAATAATATGGAAATGGACTTCTGCAACCATCGCCTAGCAAGCATTTTTGCATGTTCAATATGCAATCTGGGGCTAATGCAACCAAGATTAATGCGGGATCTACATTATCCAGTTTGAGGGGGAGTGTTCAGAAGAACTATTATGTATCATGTAAATACTTGTATGCTATTATAACACCCTTAATCTCAGTGTTCCGCAACTCGGCAAGTCCACTCGGCCTCGCCCTAGTGGTGAGGCGAGTTCTGGGCAGGTTGGGTATCCAACTGCCCACCACAACAACCCCCTAAAAAAATTTAAAAATCTAAAAAAAATAGAAACAAAAAATATCATCATCATCATCACCCGACCTTTATCCCATCTATTTGGGATAGGCAACACAAATTCTATTTCAGCATTCAACACTATCAAGAGTCATACCCTTTCACTTATAGGGAACGCCCTAGCATGAGCATATAACATTGGTCCAAGATTCATGAAAAGATGTAGTAAAGTTTTAGGCTGGCTGCCCTACCTAACACAACCCTCCTCCTTTATTTGGCCTTGGGGCCGGCATGACTCGCTTGGGACCGGCCATGGTGGAGTCAAGAAATGATAAATATATTGCTTAGAAATTATTCTTTAGATGATTTTGATAGTTTTTAGGATGGTTTGGGATCTTTCATATTTTTTCCTTTTTTTAATTTTTTTAAAATATTCAAAGCATAAATCAAGGTTAGTCCATATTTTATATTTTTTTCATCTTCTTCAGCCTTCTAATTATTTCTAGTAACTCAAAATACTTTTTCCTATTTTTTTTATTTTTTAAGTAAGTTTTTACCTTCTTTTTTTATTTTCTTACATGGTAAAGGGTGTCTATAACTCGCCCGAGTCCACTCGGACTCAACCGACTTGCTCATCTCAGCCAAGGCCTGAGTACCTTGGCCGAATCAACTCTTTTCTATATTATTTTATTAAACTCATTTAATATGCTTCGAACTATGTTTTGTAAATATTTGCTCATGTGAGCCCAAGATGAATGAATCAGATTTCCACATTCCCTCCATCCTCCCGCTTTCTTCACATATCAAATAGATTATTGATCAAAGCCTTTACTCTATTTCATCATAAAGAATCCTTCTACACAATATGCATGCTTCTTTCTTCCTCCATCTTCCACTTATTTTTGTTTTTTTTTTTTTTTTTTAAGAAAGTTAGCTTATCTTCCAAGTATCGTTGCACATGATTCTTCTATATCTTGAGTGGAATAACCAATCCAGAACTAAAAGCTCTGCCTCAAATACAGACAAGGGAAAACAAAAAAATCAAGGAAGCTCCAAAGACGTGAACCCCAATTTTAAAAAAGAAAATCCTTAGAAAAACAAATTCTAAAGCTTCTTACACATGGTACGAACTTCAGCCAAATTTATTGGAAATTTTTTGAAGGATAGCTGGGATCTAACCTTAAAACAGCAACCCCCCCTTTTGCCTACGGGGGTCTCTAGGCCAATTTAACCTCGACATGCGCAACAAAAGAAACAGCATTCAAACCTCCCCAATATCTCTTTTGGTGACTATCTATTTCTAGATGGTTTAGGATTGGATTACAAGGAAAAATGAAAATCTTGGTCAAAAGTTCGACGAACTAAAAACAGGGTCTGCTTTCATACAAAATTGGGTGTAGTGACAGACTTGACAAGCAAAGCTGGCCAGAGGCCCTCAAGAATTTTAGGGGGCTCTCAATATTCTATAAGGAACTTTTTTGAGAGGATTGGTTTCTATGAAACCCTGTTCAACCAGCCAATGCCTTAATTGTTATAAGCCTTTAGATTTGAACAGCATTAAATACATCCATCAGTAAATAGAGATAACATCACCACAATTATCATATTATTCAAACACATGAGGCATTGGGGAAGAATCCCTTAGTTTTCAGGGAACAATATATGGCAGTTTTCTAGATTGACACATCAAATTACAAAAGGGAAGAAGTAGTTTCAATATTTTCCATTCAAATTTAGCATATTGCTGGACACAAATCACGCTCAAAGAGACACCAGTCATGCAAAGCTAATGTAACTGAACAAGTCACCAGTGCCAATATGATAAAGAGCACTAGAGAGCCAATAATACCAAGGCAATTGAGACTAAAACAGCCTCCAAAAAGAGTAAAACAACAATCAATCATAGTTATCCTCAAAAAGCACTATTTAAATTTTTCCCCTGATTTTGGATTTAATTCGCTCTCCTAAATCATTTCAAAGTAGACTTTGGTGAAAGTGGTGTTACTAATTCAATCAAGTTGGCCATGAATGTTTTCATTCCTAACCACAAATATTGGGTTTTCTATTATGGAGCAGGTCTCTTAAGGTTTCAGAATGATTTTATGCATAAATTGTGGTGTTTTATGGATGGAAGGACTGATTACATGATCAAGTCTTGATAGGCGAGGAAGCAAGGAGTTGTTCTACGTATGGATTTTGGGGGTTAGGGGATTGGGGAAGGGGAAGATGATGAGAGCAAGACGGCTGTTGGATTGCAAACCAAGAAAAGTCTTAATAGCTTTTTAAGGAGATAGTTCATAGATTAGATCATAGTCTCTGGGATCTCCCAAGGAGGTGGTTGCTCCAGCTCCGGAAGCTTGATCCTGCACTCGCGGACAAGGGATCTCGATTCCAGGCATTTTTTAATTCAGGGATCTCAATCCACAAAATTGGGGACCTATATCCCCAGTTGATGGGATCCAGATCCCTCGTATCCAAATCATGAGTCCATGAGTAACTGAAATCGAGCCTCCACCAACTTGGAATTGAGTTTCTTCTACATTGGGAGCAAGGTTCACCAGCACACTTCGAGATTAATATACTAAGGGATCGTGGATTACTTGACAGATCTTCAACACATGGAGAGAGAGAGAGGCCGATAGCATTGTGAATGCGAAGAGTTTGGCATAGCCCACCACCTTTAGTTTGAGAGAAAGCACCAAAAGAGACAGTACAAGAAAATTTTATTTTTAACATTAACAAAATAAAGGACCACAGAGAGAGCGAAAGAGAGATACCTTTACCCTCTTGTTGATAATGTCACCCAATGGCATGTAAGTGAAAGAACCCAAACAGAGGGAAAACAAGGTCGAGGACACTGGAGCTTCTTTAGTGGCTGAGGACTGAGATTTGAAACTCACATTGGGTTTTTAGTTTCACTTCTTATATATGAAACACACTCCAACGATAATAAAAAGTCAAAAGTGTATTTTAAAGACAGGATTCTTGTATTTAATATACTTTGGTTTTTGAATTCAGGAAAAAATTAAATATACTGTGTTCATAAACTAAATTACCCTAGCTAAGTGATATTTGGGAGCCCCGATTCAAAGCGATGGACCGCGATCTCATATACGTTATTATTCAATCCTGGAAAAATTTAAATCGCACTCCCTCCATACTGGAAACTCGATCATCTTGATCCCTCATGGAGAAAACTTCAAGCCTTGCTAGATCTGGTCCTACTTCTAATCAGGGACCTGCCCTCGCTCCTGATCCCAGAAACTATGCATCAGATTACCAAATTCATTACCTAGAGAACAGCAAAGTTCATGATAATATGATAAAACCTTAGGAAAGCTTAGTTTTCACTTTAATGTCAAGGTACACAAAAATCTATGGAAAGAATTCAACAACAAATAAGCAGCAGCAGGAAAAATATTCATAAGAACAGCAGCACAGTATAGCCATGTCGATAATCAAAAAGACAACAAGGTCAAACTTAATCCCAAAATTCTTTATTGCATGCCTTCTTCCAATTCCATCACCACATGGTAGAAGTTGGATATAGACATAGCAAGTCAATTAGTTAATATATCCAATAGCAGTCATAATTTGCCGTGACTTCCAAAACACACTACGATAATTAAAATCCCCATGCTAATGGTAATAAAATAAAATTAAATTAACAGATGTAGGAAGTACTCTTCAGCACGAGCTTTTTAGTCAAAGAACAATGGATTTCAATCAATACAAACAGCAGCATTAGGAAAAACTACATCAATTTCATCAATTAGAGTCCATTTCAGAGATGACAGAAAACCTAATTTACCAAAGTCAACTAAGAAACAAAGTAAATCTCCTCACATGCTCTGCAGTCCATAGCTTTGGGTTCTCCAGCTTTCCAACAAGCTTATATCCATGAAATCCAATATTCTTGTTGGATGGACATAATTCCAGACGGGCTACTTCAGAAGCCTGTAGGTCCACATTTTCATCAGATTCATACCACTTCCCTGTTTCATACAGGATGGCTTCCATGTTGATATCAGCATGCCTGTCGATCTCATTGCTTCCTCCCAGGCCATTGATTTTCACTTCAACCTGCAAGTTGAAGAGCTACTAAGACTCAACTAGCTAACAAAGAAAATTGTAGCTGCAACTGCTACCAACAAACACGATGCAGCAGTCCCATTAGCCAGTGATTTATATTGAATATAGATGAAGCAGATTCAGCAAAGTAAAATGTAGAGCAAAAAAACGATAGTCCATGAAAAAGTGATGGGGTCTACAGAGAGTAACATTGACAAAATAATTCGAATAGAACACAACCATAAGAGGGAAGAATATAAGAAGAAATTTTAAATGTTCTTCCCAAAGAACCAAAAGCTTATCAGCATATGATCACAATGGACACAGATTCATGTAAGGTGAGAATGATCTCCAATGGGCATTCAACATATTTTAAAGGAGAGACATCAAGATGTAAACCAACCTAGGGGAGCACCAAGAAGGTGTAGAGCAGAAAAGAATTTGCAATGCCAATAAGCCCTGTCATCCCAAGAGAAGGATTCAGAGGCGTGAAAGCCCAAGAATCTTCAGGACAGAAAAGTAGTCCCTTGAAAAAAGAAGACACAAGGATGATAAAAGCGAAGGAAGATAAATTCTTCTTTTACTTCTCATATAAATGTGTGTGTGCACGTGTAGGAGAATAAATAGTGACTTCCAAACTACAAATAACATCTCCTTTCCCTCCAATGTTCCTAAGTTGTCTTTCTACGTAAACTCTTTTGAATATAATTTACTAGCTAGATAGTGTCCTTGAATAAGCATCTATCCTTAGGGACCTCCCATTCACTATCTAAATGCATAAGTTAGATAACCCCTTTGAAAATTGGTATATTTTAATCCATATCAAGTATTTACAAAAATAAACTAGAGTGAAGAAATAAGAGAGAGATACATAAAAACAAAACTCAAGTTAGACATATGGGGAATGATTTCATGCAACGGTTGCATTGTAATATGATGAAACAATCTTCAAAAATTATGTTCAGCCCATTTGTTTGAACCCAAATTTTTAAAGAAGATATTATACAAAAATGGGAACTATCAAATACATTTTTCTCAACCACACAAGTAACTATGTTATAAAGAAATTAGAAAATGATTTAAACTTAATAAATAAATAATGCCTGAAAAATAAAAAATTAAATACAAACATACACACATGCAAATTTATTTGTTTTCCTTTTTAGGAGAGAGAGAGAGAGAGAGAGAGAGAGAGAGAGAAGAAAC